TTTGATGTGTTGTCTTCTCAGTTCAGAGGGGCCCCTGCCTGTCTTTGCCTAGGGCCCCATATTTCCTATATCAGCCCCTAAATGTTTAGGGCCCCATGGACACTCGTGCCGGCCCTGGTTCTTAGTAGCATTTTCCCAGATTTAAAGTCATTTTGGAGCAAATTAGTGATGAAGGAAGCAAACATCCATCCCTCTGATGACGGTCTGCTAAATAAAAGGCCTCATTTTTGGCCCCCGGGCCTCATCTGACTCCATCAGCCATCCTGATCACTGCAGTCAGATGAGGTTAGCAGATCATTTGGTAAAAAATACCAGAAGATGTTTAGATCCAGAGCTATGCTAATGAAGGTGTTTGCAGGGCGTTTATCTTACCTTCAATCTCTGCACACATTCCTAAAAAAAAAAAGGTTAGCAGCATTAAATTCAGCACCTGCCACCAGACAGGGTGACCTAAATAACATGTTTGGAATGATATAGTTTAATGCTGCGGATCTATTTAGAATAATAACTAAAGTAGAAGCTTTTCTAGAGATATTAATCTTTCTTGTTTAAACAGAATTTTAAGTTTAATCCTTTCTGCTCTGATTTTATCGTATTTTTCCTGCATAATTTAGCTTTTAGAAACCAAGCCTGTGTTCTCCTGGATGGGCCCCTGGATGGGCCCCTGGATGGGCCCCTGGATGGAGTGTCTGTACAGCGTTTCCTCACCCAGGAGTCCCCGCTACCCTCAGCAGCTCCTCCTTGTTCAGCCCGGTGAACGTCTCCTCCGCCTCATCCAGGATCTTCAGCTTCACGGAGCCATTTTTCTCCGCCTCCACCTCCTCCCCGCCTTCAGGTGGAGCCTCCACGGGCCCCTCTCCGCCGGCTGTCATCGGCTGCTTCTCCTGCTCCTCCTGGTCCAGGTCGGCCTCGCTTACATCAGCCTCCGTAGCATCAGCATCCGCAGCGGCCGGAGCTGCATCCAGGCCGCTGATGCTCTGAGCATCCTTCATCTCCTCCGCGTTCATCCTGCCTGCTGGGAGCCTCTGAATGATGATGACCGATGAATTCAGAGCCAAGTGTCCGTCTGCCGGTGATTCAGCGTCTGCCGGTGATTCTGCGTCTGCCGGTGATTCTGCGTCTGCCGGTGATTCTGCGTCTGCCCGCCGGTTCCTGTCTGACTGCTGCGACGTTCAAATGCAGTCGGAAACCTGCAAAATCCAATAGCAAAAAAAAAAAAAATGAATAAATAAAAATTTGGATGATGGATGGATGATGGATGGATGGATGGATGGATGGATGGATGGATGATGGATGATGGATGGATGATGGATGGAGTCTGATTGCAGCATTAATTGGAGGCTAAATGAAATCAGCATCTCTGCACTATTGTAGTTATATCCAGACCGCCTTAATCCAGAGTCTGATCCAGTTTAACTGGTTTTGAGCTCATAGGGAAAATTGTTGCTTATTGAGATTTGAAGATTATTTGGAGGTGTGGAAAAGTAAACAGCAGAAATAGTAAACTAGCATGATGGATCTGCTGTAGCGGTCTGTCTTCCAGCAGATCTGGATAAGCTTCTGACTGAAGACACTCTGTGTAACATTCTCATTAAGAGGATGCTCGCTGTGAATCCTTCTCTCTGAAATCATCTGCAGAGGTTCTAGAGGAGTTTCTAGAACAGAGCCGACCTTATTTATCGGCTGGTTGAGCTTTTTTCAGTCATTAGCTCTGATGCTGTTACCCCTGTTAGATGATGGAGGAAGAGATCAGGCTCTCCACAACAGACTGATAGAAGATATCTGGCTGCAAATGGCAGAGGACCTAAGCTTCCTTATGATGCTGTCATACCTTGACGATTTAGCCAACATATGCCGACATACAAAAAATATGGCAAAAATGCTGGCATAAGTTATGTGCATGCTGAAGCACGCTGAAGCACGCTGAAGCACACTGAAGCACGCTGAAGCATGCTGGCACGCGGCAACATACGGCAAGTGCCAGCGTATGCTCATACTGTACATGGGCCATAAGTTCCAGGTCAGTTATCGTTGACACACATTAAGTGTAAGCTACTAATAGGTAGTGAAGTCTAGCTGATCCTAAACTTCTGCGTAACTTATCCAGAACTTCTCTCCAACATATCAGCGTATCTGCCGTGTTCCAGACGAGCGCTGAACGTGTTTCTAGCTTCCAGCTGCTGTATAATGGCGTATTGGCAGCGTTTTGGTATAAAGGGGGTTCATGGGAGGAAACCGTCAGTTCTCCTCCAGACTTCATCCCCATCATAGGGTGAGCCAGAAGG